TATATGGAATACAGGAAGTTTCTAATACACATAAATGAAACTTGATTATTATATATTGGATAAAAAAATTGACTTCTTTCCCTTGCTCTTTAAAGGAATTGCCTTCTTAATGAGACTGACATCACTTGAGTAAGGCTTGGAGCTGGAGAGTTCCCATTCTGAATGCATAGAATTTGAGTATGTAACAGAAGCTGGAAACATTTGGTAGAATTGTAAGAAGTTATGGAGCATTTCTAACACTCTAAGTGGGACCTCCGCATACTTTCCCATGATAAAAACATCTGTGTGTAGTGGTTGGCTACTATTAGTGTACATACAATTTTTTCAGTCTACTAAAAGTTAAACAGTTGTACGGATTAAGGTAGACACCTAACTATTGCATGTCAGGTTATTTTTAGTGAGAAAAAGAAAAGAAAATCACTTTGAAATAAATTTTGAGAATCTGTGTGCAGCTTAATTTTTCTATGAATAACCAGTCAGAAAGAAGAGCCCTTTGGAAAGAAGACAATCAGTCACATTTTGATAAACTAGGAATGGTAGAGAAATCTATTAAATGTTGATGGTATGTATATCTAGATGTGGATTACGTTTCTTTTAACTTTGGATCTTCTAGAATGTTAGAAAATTAGGTAGCAGTTTAGGACAGAAAGGAAATGATAATAATATATAGTTGGCCAACTTTTGACATATATTTAGATATCTAAACCCATCTGTCTACCATCTATTTAATCTAATCTAATCTAATCTATGCACTTTTATAGATGGAATATATTTCTTTAAAATCTAGTTATATCAGGTATGAACATAGTGATGGAAGGTCAACCAAATAGTCTTTACCTCTACAGATCTCAGAGTTTAATATAATAAACTGCTAAATAGTATAGTACCATAAGTGACAAAAAGAACTACATGTGATTCAATATGGCTATGAATCTCCACATTTTCAAAATCAAGGATCAGAAGACTGTTTTAGAGTTAAGAGGCTGTAGAATGTAAAAGAAGTAATTAATTTCTATTTTCCCCATGATTACTTTCAAGACTGTTAAGAAAGAGACAAGTATGGTAAACTTATATAATTTCTGAGTTAATTTTCACATCGTTGAGAAAAAAATACCTGATACCCAAAGTTAAAAGAGGAAAGACTTATTTTTCAGCTGAAATTGTGTAGAGGTCTGTATCCATATTCGGCGGGCTCCAAGGCAGGGTGGCATGGCAGAGGCACACTGCAGGGAAGACAGAGCTCATGGAATGGTGCCAGGAAGAAGCAGTGAAAGATCAAGGGAGAGGAGGAGGAGGCAGACACACTCTTCCAGGTCTCGCCCCAGTGACTCACCTTCTCCAACCAGGCTTGGCCTCCAAGCATCACATTTGACTAGAGACATATTGGTGGACCAATCTGCCGATCAACCCCATGATCCACTCACTTCCCCAAAACCCCATCTTTGAGCACATGAGACTAGAGACATCCAGATATAAAGCATAACAATAGTATTTATAAAACATATTAACAGTAGTCATTTGAGGATAAAATGAAACATGACTTTTGTTTTCCTCATATATATTTTCTAATCTGTAACTTTTACGTATTTTATGTAAGCCCAATATGGCATCATTTAAAATAATTTCTTTTGCAAATGGGAAGGAAACTAAGAGATGAAGGTAGAGAAGGAAAGGACAGGAAGAAGGGAATGTATAAAGAATTGAGATGTTAGTAGTGTAGGAAAAGGTTTTATGAACAAAACGTCAGTTGCCAGTGAACTAGCACGAACAACAAGTGGGATGTCTTATTAAAAAGCTTCTGCACAGCAAGAGAAATGACCAACAGTGTGAAGAGACAACCCGCAATGTGGGTGAAAATTTTCACCAGCTGTTCCTCAGACAAAGTCTACTATCTAGAATATATAAAGAACTCAAAAACATCAGACCTCCTAGATTTAAAGACCCAATCCAAAAAAGAGTATCTTAAATGAAAAGACATTTCTCAGACAAAGAAGTAGAAATAGCAAATAAGCATATGAAACAATGTTCAACATTACTGGTCATTTGAGAGATTCAAATGAAAACAACATTAAGATTCCACCTCACTCTCGAAAGAATGTCTGCTATCATGAAATCAACCCATAACAAATGCTGTGGAGAAAGAGGCACCCTGTTTCACTGCTGGTGGGAGTGTAGACTGGTGCAACTACTGTGGAAATCAGTATGGAGATACCTCAAAGAACTAGAATTGGAAGTCCCATTTGCCCCTGCTGTCTATCTTCTTCAAAGAATTACAAGACTCATACTACAGTGATATATATGCACCCATGTTCACAGAAGCACAATTTGTAATAGCTAAAACTTGGGTGCAACTCACTTGCCCATTGACAGGAGAATGGATAAAGAAAATGTGTGTGTGTGTGTGTGTGTTTAGATAAAGTGGAGTACTACTGAGCCATAAAGAACAAGAAACTAGAGACATTTATAGCTAAATAGTTGCACATTAAGACAATATTCTTAAGTGAATAAACAGGACACATGGGTAAATACTAAATAGTTTCTCTAGCGTGAGAAACTGAAATGAGGACTAAAAGGTATAATAGATTATGTGAAATAGGAAGAAAAGGTGAAAAGAGGAAGGGGAAGGGGAGTAGGGGAAAAGAAAGAAGGGAATGGAATTAATATGAGAAAAAGATAAAGTGGAAACAAAGTCTTTGTAGATAGGGAAGGGTGGAGGGCTTGAAGGGAGGGCAGGGGAAAAGGGAATAAAATAAGAACCAAGCTGGATTGTGTAAAGGTGCAAATTTCCAATGATGAATGTCATTACATTGTATACCTTAAGTGTACCCATTAAATTAATAAAAAAATAAAAGGTAAAATAAAAGGTAGGGGAAAAGAATTAAGATGTATTATGCTCAGACTTCCTATGAGGAATATAATCATTACATACAGCATACATGTAGTAATAGAAGTAAAAATGTAAAAAAAAAATTCTTAAAGGAAAGGTGAGTGTAATTACTTACCCTAAACCCAGCAAGTGACAAACTTCATTTGCAATCTGAGTAGTCCAGTTCTCAGCACAGGCTGCGTGCCAAACGCTCTGGATTCTGAACTGCACCAGTCCATTATTGTTCATGGTACCATTGAAAAAGCGTACTAAAGATGCAATAGTAGAACAGTGGTTACCAGACTGTAAGATGGGGAGGATGAGAACTTAGTCAAAGGGCACAAAATTTCATCTATCACACAGCATAGCTAATGACAATATAATTGCATATTTTAAACTTTATAAAAAATAAATTTCAAATTTTGCAACAAAATGATAAATATTTGAATTTATGGACAAATATTTGATTTACTTATTTCACATTGTATATTTATGTCATACCATCACTTTATACCCCATATATACATACAGTTATAATTTTAATTTTAAAATTATGATCTTAAATTTATTGAAATTTAAATAAAATTTAAGAACAAAGTGACAGACATACAGATTTAAAGACATTATATCACACCCAGGGTCATTTTAAGCTAGGCTAATAGAGGAGTAAATGACAGTCTAAACAAAACAAGCAATGTTATTAATTGAGAGTATAGTTACAGTGTTTCTTAAGAGTGTGTTAGAAGACATAAATTGAAAAAATGTAAGTTGAATAGATTTAATTTTGATCTTTCATATAAGTGTAACAACATAAAAGGTGGAGATATGCCAATTTATTGTATATCAACACAACAAATAAACAAAAAATAAAGTTATTTGTAAGGAACATAGTATATAAACTTAGTCCACAGGAAGAGGGAAACTTAACTTTCTAAAGGCAAACAGTTAAGTTTAGAAACAAAACTTTAGCCACATACTTCTACTTATTTCTTCAGATAGTCTTTTTTCCCCCCATTAAGTTTATTGGTACATTTATCCAAACAATACAGTTACATTTATTACTGGATCTTGTACCATTACATGATATGCCTTAGCTCTTGTTTTACCCTACACCCCTGCCCTCCCTTCACCCACTTCACCCTTAAATAAGGGAAAAGAAAAAATGTGAAAAAAGGAAAAAAATGGAAACAAAGTCTTAGCCTTTCTTTTTGATGTTTGGTTTCCCACTGTCTTACAAACATTTGGATAGAATGCTAAGGCTATTTGTTTCTAGGTAGAAAATATAGTAGAATAAGGTAGATTATCAAGGAAAACATAAGACATGGTAGTCTAGAAAATTGCTGAAAGCACTGAGAAGATGTTCACGTTCGAAATACCAAAATACATTATTATAAACACATAAGTAATCTTTGTTTCAAAAATTTGTTGAATCCAACTGTAGAGGTTAAAGTAATGCAAGTATTTTTGTAGAAATTAGACATACCACAATGTGCTTCATCTGAGCCATCCCCACAGTGTGGGTGGCTGTCACACAGATTCACCAGTGGAATACACTCTCCGTTTTTGCACTGAAACTCGTCTTCCTTGCAGGGCTCTATGGGGAAAGAATGTTTCTTGTATAGGATAAATAAAGTATAAATGGGTGATTTCTTAGCACACTTTCCATTTAGACCCCTTTAAACATCAACACTTAGCCACAGCATACAGTGGAGCACACTTTAATCTTGAATACACCATGTATTTTACTCCGAATTCCCAGAAATAGTGTCAAAGCTAGACTTGTGGCTTTAAAGAAGGGTAGATGAAACCTCAGATGTCTGCTTTGCAGAAGTATCTGGGGACGTTCCTAGTAGTGGCTGAGAAGCTTGGGATACATATATCATAAACGCTGTTAGCATTTCTTTAACAAACTCCTTCACTCCAAAATAAGATGCAAGTGACAGCCACTGGAATGTTATACAAGCATCACCATCCAAATGACACCTTCACATACTTATTACACTGAAATGTGGATGTTTTATTTTGGTGGAAAATAAGTTATACTGGGTTGGAAACAGTGGGTTTAATTAAAGCATGGTCAGATAGGAAAGGGAAGTCACAAATAAATGGAAAATCTATAATGCCAGTAACGTGAAAGTTGAAGATGGACCTCCAAACGAGTAAAACAGTTTGGCGGGAATAGGAATGTGCTGGCTTCATTGGAAAAACAGAAAGAAAATGAAAAGTTTAGATAAAGAAGGAGCTAGGTAGATGTGGGAGGAGTGGATGGCTGGTCATGGAATGTGAATTGTACAAAAACAGGCCTACTGGAAATAGAGGAAGTAGTTGCACTCTTTTCAAGCACTGTTTAGTCTTAAAAATACTTTGCCCTGAGATTGCCATCATATCACTGGGAGAGACAATTTTGCTTCCTTCAAGGTGTTTTCTGATCAAATGAGAAACAGCCACATTCTGGAAGTGCTGGAAAGATACTAGGAATTGTGCTAAGAATCATGTGGCATTTGGTGCCCTGAGAATGGTAATGATACTGATTATGGAAACTCTTAATCCTTATTCCTTACATGGCAAACTAAAGGAGAAGAGCTTAACATATATAAGGAATAGAAAACTTGCTTTATTGGTGTCAAGTTGTCACAATTCAACCTACATGGATATTGGAAGCAAATTTAACAATCTCCATGGATAACATTTATAATGACAAAATGTACTTGTAAATAATTATATCGATTCTTTAAAGTATTAAATTTTACCATATTACACTTACAAAACAACAAAAATACACTCAAAACTGGTTTGGTGACTGTCAATCTTGGTCTCCTATTTCTGGGTGTTTAAGAAAAGGAGAAGCCATGTGTTGATGCACACATGTAATCCCACGGCATGGAAGCTGAGTCAGAAGGATCTCCAAGAGTTTGAGGCTGCCTAGGCTACATAGTGTGTTCAAGGTCCCCATGGATGAGACAATGGCTCAATAAATAAATAAATAAATACATAAATAAATAATATAGAAAGGATATTACTTGTATTTTTCTAAAATAACAATAATAAAAAGACTGACTAGGGTCCTTGGAGAGTGTTAATGTGGAGGACAGAAGAATGGTGACAACCAGCAAACCAAATGCCAAATGCCCAGAAGGAAGCAATTTTTACCGTGTTGACCAATAGTGAAGTGAGCATCCCCCTTCCCAGCTACAAGTTTATTACACACCAAAATCCACAGGACTGCAACAAAAGCAGAGCCTGTGGCTGTGCTCTACTGAAAGAGCGAGGTTGACCAAAAGAAAACTACCCTGGTGATATATTTCTTTTCATCTTTCAATGCAGAGACTCTGGTGAAATGGAAGGAGTAGAAGAAAGAAGATAAGATGAAGACATTATTTTACCTTCCTGTAACTTAGGTTATTGGACTCAGGTTTTTGCTTTAGTTGTACGGATAAGATCAGCTTTAATTAAACAATATGAAAGTTTTGATGCTATCCTTATCTATATGTTTTATTTAAAATCAAGTCTTAGTTACCCAATTAAGACACTTTAACATTTGAAGTGACTGGAAAAGTGACAAGATTTGTGTGAAATATCAAGGGGTAAAAAAGGAAGATTTAAAATAAATAGATGGAGGCAAAGATTTCTTTACCTTGAAATCAAACACAGCCGTTCATTAAACAGAATGTGCAATACACAAACTGTGCTACCCAATTTGTCAAAATTTCTCATTGCTGTATTCCCAGGGCTTAGCAAAATGTCAAGGAGTAAAAACCAGCAGGTATTTGTTAAAATTAACTAAAAAAATAAATATTAAATGATTAAATGCTGGAAAAAAGCAACATGAATATGAATGAGTTGATGCAATATAAAAACTTTTTAAAAAGTATGATTTTAAAAAATACATTGTTAAATTTAAAGCAATTGATTGATGCTAATTTTAGTGATTTGAAAAAGAAATAAATTGCATCAGTTATATGATATAATTTACATATTTAAATTTCAATAGTGGTTAAAGCATAGGCTTTGCAATCATATGACATAGGTGTGTAAACTTTTAGCCACTCTGTTGATTTTTTTAAACATAGGTCCAATAAATTAATCTTTTTGAGACTGAGATTCCTTAACTGTCAAAAAAAAAAAGTACTCCTTTTGCCTTGTGTATATCAAGAGTAAATAAAAAATATACATTTCAGCCTACCTATATTTATACAGCAAGTACTCAATAGACACTATTATTAATAGCAAAAACAGCAACACTTCAAAATGCTGTTTTTGACTGATACTTTTAACATGTACAAACTGTACTACTTTTCCTTCCCTGTAACCAGATAAATAAGAAAACTTATCTAATCCTTTACTCTTGTTATACTACAATAGAGCTATTTGTTTATTTTAAAGTAAGAAACTCTGTTTTTTCAACCCAAATCTAATTTACTTTAATAAAATATTTTTAGAAAGCCATGTTTTTTTTCCTATAAACTTTTATACTGTGAGAAAAGTAGATTACATATCTCAAAATATAATGATATTAGGGAGGTTTTTGTAAATATAATTATCAATTTGCTTCATAACACATTTTTCACTGTATTACTAGATGATAAATGGACAAAGAAAATTTTATGCTCTACAGGCAGTCAGTATCCGCACTTAAATATATATTTCCTTCTTCTCATTTTGATTGTTTTTTCAGAAAGCAGGAAAGTTTAAAACCAGATACAAGTGTCTATGTACATGTATTCTTATCTAAAATACGTATTTTGGCATGCATTTATTTTTTAAAGTTAACAACACTAGTTCCATACCCATAATCAAATATCTTAATATGGAATGTCAGTTGTTATTAGTTGTTTTTAAATTATCTCATTATATTTTCTTAGCTTTTTAAAATCGTCGTGTAAAAATTAGTTTTCAATGATAGTAACTTAATTTTATATGAATTTATTGATAATTTTTATCTTTTACTGGAATAGTCAAGTCAGTCTTGGCCAAGCAGCTTCTCTATATTTAATTTGAAAAGCATAAATTTGTTAAATAAAAATAGTTTCAGATATCTTCTTAGTAAAAATTTAAGAGAAAACATGAATCACTCTCTAAAAATTATGGCTCACTTTTGTGTGCTAGCCAAAGCTATTATGATTATGTCCTGTGAAGCCAGATAAAATAAATTGATTCTTAAGACAGAATGAGTTGGATGAAAAAATATTGAATGGAGAAAATGATCTATTGTTGCTGAAGTAAATAGAAATTATAAATCTGAGGAAAGGTGTAAATAGGCTATTTCAACATTTTTCCTTATATGCAGAAAATTTATTTTGATTCTTTGCAATATATAGTAGTTCAGCTTCATTAAGAAGTCTCTAATCCAATAATTAATCCTCTCTGTGCTTTGAAATTTTATTTCTGATAGTTTTATGCCCATGGTGAGAGAGGTAAAAATAAATATTGCTAAGAATTGAATTTCCCTGTCGTCTTTTTATGAAGTCTCCAGTAGTCTTGCCTAATTTAGTCAACATATGCTTAACTTTAAATGGAACTAAACTGGTCTCTTGGGCACACTGCCACACAATCTAGGGAAGGCTGTAAACTCCTAAATGTAATCAACTGCCACTTCCAAGTTGCCTGATCTGCACTACTGAGTTCCATATTAAGACTCTGAGTATCAGAAAAGAGCAATGAGGGTACATTTACAGGTGATTTATCTTAATAAATCCAATATTATAGATACTCTAGTTTAATGTAAATGGAGAGGTTTAAAAAAGGATAAAAGACATACAAAACTATATCAAACAATTATGTTATATTTTAGTTGAAAGTCTTGAAAGGTGTCCCTAAAATAATTTAGAAAATAAGTAATTCACATAAATACTGAAAACAACTTAATATACTTTTTCTAAAATGGCCTCCAAAGCTGAACATCATATAAATCCATATGTGTGTCCCATCTATCTGCCTATTATCAACTTGGTTATCTTCCACTGCCAAGTTCTTATATCTGCAATTGCATTTCAATTGTAGGGGGTAGAAAATCTCAGTGAAAGAAAAATGTGCAGGTGACAACACAATCATCTCATTTTCCACTAGCCAGCAGAATTTGTGTTATTTCTGGGAGGGGATGAGACCACATTTCCAGCAAGATCATCAGACAGGAATGGGCTGGGAGTTTCCATTATGGCTCCAATAAAAAAAAATTTCTCTTAAAGATAATTTATTTCATTAATAAAACAATAGAAGTCTAGATATATGATAAATTAATATAAATACCTACATCAACTCTTTTCAGTTGAGAGTAAGAGATTATTCAGTTTTGGGGTATTATCTTGAATAGAAATTATTTGTATTATTTTTTACAGTTTTTAATATTGCATTTAGCTTTAAAAAATAATTTTTTAAAAAAGTAACTGTCATACTTTCAAAGAGAATTGTTTCTGTGTTCCTTTTTACAATTTATTCTTTCAATTTTATTTTCTGCCTTCTTATTTGCTCTTTAAAATATGAATTTAATTTCCTTTCCTAAAGTTTGTTTCAAAATGCTTTCACTTTTGCGCATGGCAGAGTTTCCTATAATTATTTAAGTTGCTTGGATATATGAATAATTCCACTCTCTATTGGTTAGAGTGTAGTTTTTAATCACAATTGCTTCTGTCAGTTTTATTATTCATCTCCTATTTGAAAGTAATACTTCTTTTTAGAAGTTCCTTCCATGAAAATGTTCTTGAAATAAAATCAGAAGGACTGCTCTTCCAGTAAAATATGTATTACATATTTACTTGCTTTATTGTATGTTGCTTTGCAGAACTGAACATATAATTCTATTGCATGCAAATGCATGATATTGATCTTGTACATTTTTAAAGCAGAGTATCTCATAGATGTTAGAATTATAATAATTTTAAGCTGTCAACATTAAATACAAAGTTAATTCAATTTTCAATGTCTCTGAAAAATATTTATATTAATTTAGCTTAGAAATTGGAAAAAAAATTTCCTTGATATTTAAAACTTTAGGAAAGAAATGATTCCTACTTAATAATGCTTTGACAAAACACAGTAAAAGTTCACAATTTTTTGGTAATTTTAACAAAATTCCAAAAGTGTGTGGTTTTCCCATTGTACCATTCACTGTTAGCTTTTATTTTTCCTTTGAGAAGGTTGGTGTTGTTTCCTGCCTACCTATTAGAGAGTCTCATATTTTTCCATTTCTTTATTGGTTTTGCCTTTTGCTTCATACTTCGTGCAGTAATTTTTGTGAAAATATAGGTATTTGAGAACCTGAGTTTTTGAGTAATTATACAGTTGACCAGAAAATTAGGTGGCTTATGTTATTAGCAAATATCACTAATCATTAGAAAAATTAATTTGTTTATGGCGGAGAAATTGCTCTGGCCAAAGATGGCTCTGTTTTCCAAATTTCTGGAAGGAGACTACGCTGTAACATCACTTATGGGAAGAGATGCTAGGAAAGGATTACCCTACCCAAAACTAAAGAATACATATTAAATATTAAAATCAGAATTGTAAATTTACTCATTAAAATAATAATGAAAACATTTTGTTTTCTTCTGCTATTGACGTTATTAAATAATTTTCTGTAAAACAATAAGAACAGATTAGCTTTTGTTAAATAATACATAACCCAAGTACTTCTTTCCTAAATGCACTTACTAACTACTAAAATTTCCTCACATCTGTCCCCCAGATCCACTTTCAAAGTATGGTCAGAAAAACCACATGATTAACGTTAAGTATAATTCACTGTTGAATTAAATTTAAATGAAAGTAGTCAGCACATCTCCAAGAGAAAAACAAAGTGAAACTACAGAAAATATTGAGAAATAAGCAAAGTCATCATAGTATAATCATAGGCATTAACAAAACTATAAAAGGACAGGATTACTGACTAAATTCAAAATGTCATTCTGACAATTATCTTGATCAATATTTTCAAAGCAATGATTTAATTTTCTGCTGTTAATAATATTGAAATAAATACTTGCTTAATGACATTTTCATGTCAATGCATTTTCTTCTTTATTAATTAACAGAACTATGCCATTTTCATAGCCTCAATTTCAAGGTAAATTCTGATTTCTTGTACGCCTCAGTCTTTATTCCTTTCCTTTTATACTGTATGCTTTTTTATGTCTCTATTTTTATTTCACTAATTATTTTCTTTGATTTATGTCATTGCTTGTAAGTCAAAAGAACTCGCTTAGTCAAAAGAATTGATCATACAATCCAGATAAGACAATTATTTGATTTGGATTCACCTCATCCCTACCTAAATAGCTGTGATAACCAATGTTGCAACCGATATTCAAGGCCAGAAGTGGTCCAGAAGTCAACTGAGCAAACAACATTCTGGGGTGGGGAAAAAGAACTAGGCTATTTTGAGTGGAGGAATAGATACATACAAAACTTATTTGTCAAGCAAGGTTTAGGATTTGATAAAAGGCCATATAAGAATGAGTCATTAAAACCTTCCTCTTTTCTAGATATGTATTCCAGTGACAGACAGAAAGACAACAGTGCTTTGAGAAAGGAAAAATTGGTGTAGGAAGTAACATATGTTTTGCCTTTCTGACATATCTGCACTGGAAAGAAGCACTAAGTAATGGGGCAACAGAATGAAGAAAATCACAGCCTGAGTAGGTATAGTTACAAAAATTATAGATTATCGAATGCCAAAATATATATTCATCTGTATTAAGGTAAAAAGGTTGTGCGTGTCTGTAAATGTCAGCATGAAATTCCTTCATTGTAGATGCTGTGTACTGGTTGTCTCTATTAAGTTATGATTTTTAATTTTTCAATTAAATTTTGGTGCATTCCAACAGCTCACAAGCCTGTCTTCCTGCTGCTCTCCAAATGTGATTTTGGCAAAGGGGCCACGATACTCTCCTTCCGTACAGGGCCAGTTACTGCACTTGTAACTTGTAACCTGGCCTGCTTTAGTGAGCAACAGTCAAGGGTCTTTACATATCAGAGAAAGACAAGTAGATTTGCAGAAAATTCTTACTTCAAACAAACACAGAAAATGATCATAGAGATGGAAAGGAGCAAAGAATATCTTTAAGATGAAAAATAATAAATAGAATGCAAATATCAAAATTATGACGTAGCCTTTAAAATCCTGTATATTTTTATATTTTCTTATTTTGCTCCAAAAGTTATGATGAGAGGTATTATTTTCCTTACCTGGAATTCCCAAGTGGTAACCACTAGTAAAGTTTGCTTTAAATCCCCCTCCTGCCAGTAACTCGTCAGTGATAAAAAGCACAGTCATTCTGCTGGTGGTAGAGAACACATCTTTCATTGGACCATGCCCTGTGTACACAGCTGTTTTGAGGAAAATGAGATAGTCAGTGATTTCTTTGAAACCAGAACAATATTCACCCTTTATTTCCCATCCATTTTTTTAGATGTACTACTACATGCAGTGTGACCCACTCATGCAGGGGCTACATGTCACTTATATGTTGATACTTTCATATATTTCAACATTGCTTCTTTGAATCTGACTCCTGTACTAATTTTTTAAATACTAATTGAAGTTCTGCAGCACTACAGTTTAATTATAAATGCCTCACAATATTATCTTGCTTAGCAGATATTTGCCTCTTTTGAGAGAACTTTATAAAACAATAAAGGTTATATTCTCCTTTAGCAATTTTTTGTTCAAATTAATTTTGTAGTGTTTTAAGTGGAATCATAAATCCAAATCTCAAGAATGAATTAGAAGCAAATAATACAAACCTAATGGTGATTTTCAAACTATTTCCCACTAATCCCTAGACTGGGGATTTCATAAACATGCTTTTCTTAACAATACTTCAACTTATTAAAAATACATTCATATTCTTAATGGTTTTATGTGTTGGAAACCCTAAAACAATTTCATTTCAAAAGAAGTTTTATCTATGAATTTGAGAACTATAACTCTGTGATACTTCTGGAGCTGTTACTTTCTTTTAAGTGACTTATGTAAATATTAAGAGGTGAAATGACAAATTTTTGTTTTCTTGATCATAAGAAAATTTCAGTTTTTATTAAAAAGATGATTTGGGAGCTGGGGATTTAGCTCTGTGGTACCACTGCCTGCCTTACAAGTGCAAGGTACTGAGTTAGATCCCTGGTTCCAAAAACAAAACAAAACAAACAAACAAAGGAAAAACAAAAACAAAAACAGAAGAGTATTTGAATTGAAAGTGAAAAACTACTCAAAATATATTTGTAAATATACACATGAAAACCAAATTTGAAGTTTTTCAGTTTTTCCTAGCATCCTACCACTACCAAGACTTTCATTACTATATTAACCCTATATAGTGGCTATTAGAATCTTCTTCAAGGTAGATTACACCCAAGGTCTTTGCAGGGTTTCTCTGGAGAACTTTGTATAAGGGTGAATAGGTTACATGACCTATTCACCACTGTATTTCTTCATTTGTAAGAGAAAGTTTCCCAGGGCATCTTCATCCATTTTTGCAGTGTTCATGTGGTTGTATCCTGATTGCAAGGACATTAGGTCAGGTTTTACTGTAATAGATTCCCTTAGGTTTTGGTCTGCAAGTTCTAAGGGCACTCGCTGGTAGGAACTGATGACTCAACAATTTTAAATCTAGTTTGTTGAGAATGCTGAAGATGAATGTTATTATGTTACCAATTCAACTTTGCCCATACTGAAAGTTCACCATAAAAATCAATATGTTATCCTATTGTATTTTCATTTCGTCTGTTGTAAAAGTGATTATGTCTATTGAGAAACTCTCTATTCATCAGTCCAAAGTTTCAAGTTATACAACGGTCATAGTATTCTCATTACAGACTTACCTAATAATAAGGACTCATCTCCGTCTCTGATTTCAACTACATCATGAATATTTTCTAAGTCAAATTTTTGAAAATGAAGTTGTATGTTTTTTCCTTCTTCTGCATTTAAATTCCAAATACCTTATAATTAATAAAATAACAAATTTAATTTTGAAAATTAAATTATATATTTTGCTTTTTGTGCATTCAAATCCCAAACATTTCAAAGTAAATTAAAGCAACGCTTTAATTCATAATACACTTCTCTTAATTGGTTTCTCTTAAAAGCAAAGCGCCACTCTTTTCTATTGTTGTTTGTTTTTGTTTTTTTTTTTTTGTTACCGGGGATGGAACTTGGTGCTTGCACTTGTGAGGCAGGCAGCAGAACCGCTGAGCCAAATCCCTGACCAAAAAGCACCACTTTTTAGACTTGCAAATCACTTTTTAAAGATTTTTTTTTTCATTTTATGAAAACCAGCACCCTAAAGTTTTTATTTTATCGTGTGAGGTGTTTTCGTTTTTTTTGTTTTGTTTTTGGTTTGTTTGTTTTTTGTACCGGGAATTGAATTCAGGACCTTGTGCTTGTGAGGCAGGGGTGGTGCCACTGAGGTATATCCCTCACCCTGTTTCGCTTTTTGATAAGAAAACATATTGGTGGTTTGATCAATATTTGTAGTAAAATATCTATTAAATATAATTTTTAATAAATGAATTTTATATAAAATGAATTACTTGAAAGATTATAGTCATATACTTCTACAGTATAAAATTTATAAATATTAAAAGCTATTAACTTCTATTTTAATTCACTTAATTTTCCTTGATTAAAATTTATTAAAAAATTAAATGATTAAAATGCAATACCCAGTCAAGTAAATTTTAATGTGTACTTAAAATTTTTGGAATTTATTTATATATATTGCAAGCTGGAATTCACTTGGAAAAATTGTCATCATTGATAAACATTACTTTTTACTGATTTCTACAATGATTTAACCTTCATATTCTGTTCTAGAGATTTCTTCTCTCCTCTTAAGTGTCCTCATTTGCTTTTAAGGAATGAGAGTTCATTTTTAGAGTCATGACTTCTAAGTCTTTGTTTTCTGATTCTTTTGAGATGTTGACAATTTCATCTAAATATTCACTATATGTGGATGTACATATCTTAAGCCAACAGGTTCTAAATGAAACACTGAAGTAACTTTTTCACACACTCATTCATTCTCTTCTTCCTAATTCAGTGAATGGCACCACCAATCCTATTAACACCCCTATTTTTCTGTGAATTGTTTGACATCTCCCTAATGCTCTTGGAATAAAATTCAAACTCCCTAACAAGGTACAAAATTCCTTCTCAAGTTCCATGTCACTGGTTACCATTATTAAATCTTCTTTAGAGAGTTAAGTGATGGTTTCTTGTGTTTGTATGTTAAAAATACTTAAATGTATTTTTTGCACAGCATCCTCCTGCCTTTATTACCCATCCCACCTTCCCTACACCTTTAGATCCTTTCTTCCCATTTCTAAATGTCAGTAATCTTACTAGGATCTTATGTATTATTGCAGATTATTCACACCAGGGAAACTATTAGGTATTTGTACATGTGTGGCTTATTTATTTCACTTAGGAGTATATCTTCAATATGTATCCATTTTCCTATGAATGAATCTATTGCCTTTATTTTTAACCTTATTTTGAACATTATATATCTATTTATCTGAATCCCCATATAGACAATTATCATTCTTTCTTTTTACTTATGTCAATTTCTAACATAGTGCTTAGTAATAGGGTGAATAAATACATGTAATTCATTTCTCCAAATTATTTCATGTTTGGATATTTTTTGAACTTTTTAGATCATTACTTTGTTCAACAGATAAAATAAAAATTTATCTTCAGTTTGAAGTAGAAATGACAATGACAAGTCTAATTAGATTAATATCTATTTATTCTGATCAGATATATTCTTGTAAAAGTGACTCTATTTGACTTTAAGAGTCATGTTTATCTTCATCTCTGAAGAAAGAAATGTTGGAATATTCGAACACATTTTTCATTGTTATTGGGGCATTTATTTTACTGGCAGAAATTTCCATTTAGACTTTGTGATTCTAACTGGGCATGGGCCTGAAAAGATGTCTGTTTTCAACCTGGACGTAATGAAGCAGAAATTTTGGAGGACGGGCTTGAAAATTTTTTTTTTTTTAACCTGGGATCAATCTCAGGTCCTTGCACTTGCAAGGCAGGAGGAGGCACCACTGAGCTAAATCCCCAGCCAGAAAATCTGAATCTTTATTGCATTTCCTATTAGCTCTAATGAGTTTCTTTTAAGTAGCAACATTGACTTCGAGACAATCAGAGTGTAGTTTTTGCAACCTATTCTCCCTATATTTGGGTGCTTTAGTGATTCTCATTATTTCCTCTTATGGTGGGAGTCTAACTACATTACTCTGGTTGTGTGTTTAATTAACTTACTATATATTTGCCAAAGCTGTGGATGTCATAATTAGGTCTTTACTGTGGATACTTACAATTGGCTTTGTTCTATCAAATTGCAAGCTTCTTACACCCACTGTGGACATCGGAAGCATAAGCAAGGAAAGTGACACTAGGAGAGACGTGTCCGGAATAAGACTGGCTCTCCCACTTCATGGTGTCATTCAGCTTTTTACTTTTGAATTATAATAATAGCTACTGCTTTGAAAAGTTGTGAGAATCGACTGAAAAATGCGTATTAAGCATCAACATACTATCTGACATGAAATAAATAATTTAAAAGTTAACAGTTGTTATTTTAATTTTTATTATCATGTTAAGCAATCTCATAGGCAAAAATGCCAGGTGTACCCATGTTTGACAAATAAGTTTCTATGGTAAGAGAGGATCCAACATCAATATGATGTTCTGGAAAAGAAATGACTCACAGAAAGCCTCATTGGGGTAGCTGTTTGGAAAGTTTGGAGAACTGAATGTTGTATTTGGTTCCCATAGCTCAAAAGGTCCTCCACAGTCCTCTGAAAAGGAAGAGAACAAAAAATCATTAGTGACACAATCTTTTTTTTTTTTTTTTTTTGTACTGGGGATTGAACTCAGGCCACCAAACCGCTGAGCTAAATCTCCGGGCTGTGACACAATCTTTAGTGCACATATAATACTAGGAAATTTATAATTGTATTTCTTAGAATAATAATTTTGATACACAAATTTTAGGCTTTGTGTAAATGAAAAATTTGTAACTCTAGTTAGGGAATAAATATAAGTACCTACGTTTGTTGAAGACTCAAGCTCTTTCTATTTTTATTGTCTCTGTGAGTCTTCAAGAGAACATATACTGTTCAGCATTTCTCAGAAAAATTATTTGAGGAAGGAAAAGCTTTTGCCAAGCCTCTTTTCTAAGTAGGCTTTAGGAAATAAGCTATTGAATATCAACTGTAGAAAAACAAGAATATTTATAATAGAAGAAATACTTAATTTGCCACTTTTATGAGAAGTGCTAGTAAATCACAAATCGTGAATTTTCTGTTTTTGTTTAAGTGTGAGGGAAAAGCTTTTCAAGTCTGTACACTGAAGCATTTGACAGTAAGGAAGGGCAGACTAAAACTCCCCAGTTGATGTGTTATCTACATTTTCAGGAAGTCAAGTTGGGACTCCTGGAGCTTAATTTAAATTTATTAGAAAAATAGAGCATAGATCTTCCAGTTCAGAATATGACACTTTCGGCAGATTAACTTTATGATATATATTAATATATTTTATTTTATGTTCCAATTTATTAGAAACAAATTCCAAGTAAGATAAAAATTCAGACAAAGGACTATTATCAAGGATATATAAAGAACTCAAAACAATCAGTCCCCCCAAATATAAAGACCCAATCCAAAAATGGGCATCCGAAATGAACAGACATTTCTCATACAAAGAAGTAAAAGCAGCAAGAAAATATATGAAAAAATGTTCCACATCACTGGTCATTCGAGAGATGCAGATGAAAACAACACTGAGATTCCACCTCACCCCACAAAGAATGGCTGCTATCAAGAAATCACACAATAACAAATGTTGGCGGGGTTGTGGGGAGAAAGGAACCCTCCTCCATTGTTGGTGGGAGTGCAGACTAGTGCAACCACTATGGAAATCAATATGGAGATACCTCAAAGAGCTTGGACTGGAGGTTCCATTTGACCCAGCCATCCCTCTGCTGGGTATCTTTCCAAGAGAACTAAAAGAATCATATCACAGAGAAGTATGTGCACCCATGTTTATAGCGGCACAGTTTGTAATAGCTAAATCTTGGAAACAACCTATTTGCCCATCCGTTGGAAACTGGATAAAGAAGTTGTGGTTTTTCTATAAAATGGAATATTACTCAGCCATAAAGAGCGAGAGAATAGATTCATTCATAGGAAAATGGATACATATTGAAGATATACTCCTAAGTGAAATAAATAAGTCACACATGTGTAAATACCAAATAGTTTCCCTGGTGTGAATATTCTGCAACAATGCATAAGATTCTAATAAGATTACTGACATTTAGAAATGGGGAGAAAGGAGCTAAAGGTGTCGGGAAGGTGTGATACGTAGGGGAAGAACAAAAAGGGAAAAGAAAAAAAAGTGAGAGAATGAAAAGATGAAAATAAAGTGTTTGTAGATGGGGAGGGGAGGAGGGGGTGAAGGGAGGGCAGAGGTAAGGGGAAAAAAATGAGAATCAAGACTTGCCATGTAAAGGTACATGATCCCAACAATGAATGTAACTGTACTGTATCCCTAAATGTACCAATAAACTCAATAAAAAAAAAAATTCACCAACTACTATGTTCCAGTTCTGGTGCTAATTATCATCATCATATTTTAAAATAATATCAAAAGATAAGAGTAACATAAATGGAAGTATTTTTGAAATATATATGTATATGTGTATATACACACACATGTATATATATATATACATATATATGTACATATTGTTACTAAAAGTCATTATTATGGGAACTATTTATCCTCAGTAAAATATATATGGAAAATATAACTGTCACATAAATGGCAGTGCCTTTGATCATATTCTGCTCTTTGATCTTTTTAATATATCATTTGTGTATTATCTTAGATCCTTTGAAACTCATGTGCATCTTCTAAGTTTACATGTAACAAGGTACTTATATTTGGATTTCATGATGTATATGAAGGGAAGAAGAGAGACCATTACTATACCCTAATAGTAGCATTGCCCGCAAACTGTTCTGTTCTACAAAGTTGTAAGGCACGGTCTTATCTCATGTACCTTTCTGGGACAGGCTTATCTAGATATGAGGAAAATTGGAAAATTAACAAAAATGCTCACAAAATACTACTGGCTCCTGAGAATCCATGCATACCCCATACTGTCTCATCTAGGAAGAAAATGTGGTGTATAAATGGAAGATGCATTAGAACTACTGGATTAAAACTGTGCTCTGGGATTACTGTTATTTTAAGACTTGTCTTTTTTTCCCCAATGTAAATAGTTCTATATTAAGGATATTAAGGATTTTTTGAGTTGTTGAAAGAAAGACGATTTTTGAAAAGTACCTCCCCATTACTACAAATACTCATGACTGGTTTTCAAAGCATCCTGTGGATTAAGTAATTGCTATATTCCAGTTTTAAATCGATAGTCTGAAGTTTGAAGTAATTCAGTCACTTGTTTATGCCATACACATTTATGTCAAAGTCAAGACCTCATTCATAAATCTCAAGCTCATTCCACAGAACCTTATTATCCCTTACTGAGTTTATTGAACTCTGAATCATTTCCATCTAGTCCAAGTCATGGAAGTGTAGCATAAGTTTCAATAAATGGAATTTCACAAGTATATTACAAAAAGAAAAAGAGGAGAGCACTGGAAAGGAAGGTCCATGAAGGAAAGATCTAAATAGAAAAAAATATGAGAAAATTAAAAAATGGAAATAAAGTTTTATAAATAGGGAAGGAAGGAGGGGGCAAAGGGAGGGCAGGGGTATGGGGAATAAATGAGAACCAGGACCTGTCATGTAAAGGTGCAAGATCCCAATGATAAATGTAACTGTACTGTATACCTAAAATGCACCAATAAACTCAATGAGAATAATAAATAAATAGAAGTAAGTAGTCTACTTAGGATGCTGATGAAGGGATTTGAACCAAAGGAAGAACAGTAAGGAGGATGAAGAGCAGGTTCTCCAGTTGAAACAAATGATCATTTAAGTAATTGCTTTGGAAAAATTTCTAACTGATCTCCAATCCTGTAATGCCTACATGCAGATAATTCATTTAATTTTAATAATTCTTAAAACTTATGTACATAATTTAATCCTCAATGAGACCAATGGGGTAGGTGAATTGTAACTATAGAACAAAGATGAGACTGCAGAATGAAGACTGGGGAAAGCCAGCTTGACCAGTATGGTCAATGTGAGTGAGTGTGTGTGTGTGTGTGTGTGTGTGTGTGTGCGCTATACCATTGCCCCTATTTTCTGGTTAAGGAAAAGGAATATTTCAAAGTTTTATACAACTAATGTAGTACATAGTTGACATTTTGAGAATTTTCATATAATTGAACATTTAATTGCATCACATTATAGGTAAAAATGAGTAGAACTTTAATAAACTCACAACCAGAGCAAAACAATTGTCAAGTGGAATTGATAAGCCTGTACAGCCAGGCAGTTTAGTTAGCATCTCTCCTTTAAATAGAAGTTTTGGGAAATTCTTTCCTGTAAAATACTTAAGAAGTACCTTCTGAGATGCATTTGAATTACAGTTTCATATCAAACGACTGATCTCAAAGATATCTCTGATTCTTGCCTTGTTAAGAAATTTCAGTTACTTTCTGCATATAAATGATTTTAAAGAATTAACAAAAGCATTTTAAGCCACCACAAATGTCATGGCACAATCACTATTATGGATATTATGGCTACAGTGGAGATGTAACATGTGCTTCTTAGAAGATTCATGAAATGTAATTCCAGACTTCACCGTTATCCTGCATCATTAGATAAACCATGGGAAAGTAGGCTGTCTCATGTGGAAATTCTATTCATGTATAGTGTTAAACTCTTTCATTTTTCTTTTTTGAAGCTATTTTTACAAATATTTGTACTCTGATTAATTTCTTACTATGCCAGTAGGGATTTTCACCTCGTATAAAATATCAATAGCATGCAACATTTTGCAAAGTAGTTGTCAGGGGTAGGTAATATCCTTGAGGCGTGGCATTTTTAATTCATGCTTAAACTTCTGATTTCCATTGGGCATGTGACAATTTGGAGATATTTACTGTGGGGTGGAAAGGAGGAGAGCCTGGCTTCCACTTAGAGTAAAAAACATTTGAATAAAATGTTCAACAATAAGTTAGAGTATGAATACAATAAAATAGATACCTGAATGATAAATTAATAAATTTTTTTACAAAATTCTTAACAATCAAGTTTAAATTGTCTTTCCTAATTGGTTTGTTTGTTCTTAATAGGAAGCTAGCCAATGATAGTAAAATGTAGGTTACTTGTTTTAAAGGCCAAAATAGATAAAACAAAATACAGCAGTTAAAAAAATTCATACAGAAATTTCTGAGTGAAGTCAATATGAAATTTTCTAGGAGTTTTACTCCTAAGAGAAATGAATAGAAAAGAACCATATGCTGAATATGACCATCAATTAACAGGGAAAGAGCTATGAATCCTGGTAGGATTCGTATCTATTTGGAGAACTCAAATTAGATTATTTTGCCTTAACTTGGAGTCCTGAAATATGGATTTCTTTTTGTAAACAATTATTATATTTAGTAGGTCTCTTATAACGACTCACCAGAATAGCTTTGGAAATTGGTATCATCTTTGTGCAACAGAATGTTTGCTTTCTAAAAATGTTCTCAGCATAATCTCCACATTGAAATTAATTGGTGCCGATGCCACAGATGAAATTGGGGGTGGGGCAGCAATAAGTGAGGAAAGTCACAAAATGGAAGAAACTCTGCCTTGTGAAAATTTCCCCAAACTAGGCACAACATGCATCCCCAGGGAGGGAAGGAAACTGAACTTTATTATTTACTGAATTGTCTTGGATTATTTTCTTATTTAAATGTTCTATAAAGAGTGAAAGAATAAAAAAAGTGAAAGATAAGCTATTAGTCAACTTTTTTTTTTTTTTTTTTTTTTTT